CCCCCTCCCCGCCTTTATATGTCCTGGATTGTTGCGCGAGGACGTTAAACCCGAAACCAATTCTCCGTCATTGTACGACATGGTGACCTACTTTAAGGAACACCATAAATAGCATGTATTGAAATAGAAGCTTTATTTCAATAACCTTCTCGGTTAGGTAAGGAACATGATACCAAATCAATGTTCGGGACAAAGCATGTATTAAAATTGTTTGGATAAGAGAATATTAAACAAGAGCAGTTCATCGTACAGGTATTGCTAAAATGTACCCATATCAATCTCGATGGTCTCCTACATTGTCCCCTTCTTCAAATGACATAACCATTGGTTTCGCCTGGACGTAATCACATCCCATTCCTTTAACAGAACTAGTCACGAAAGAAGACACGCATGATTACGGGTGTTTTTTACAAACTTTAAGGCGAAGGGGTTTAATTAGCATTAACGTCTATATTTATGTTATAGCACTCCTATAAATTAGAGTATTTTTTTTACAAATATTGAGGTTACATAAATTAAGTTGAATAGAGCTTCACATTCTTTACTTCTGATGTATCACTCCTATAAATCTTACTGTCCCAGTTCTAAATAAAAGGTCGCCACTAAGTCGAATACAGGATAGCATGCTTAGCAAGCATAAATGTTGCAGCTAGCAAATTTTGAGAAATATAGAAAGTGCTTATTATCAGATATGGACTTCTGAATATTGTGATGTGTTATATATTTTAAGCCACGGTAACTGAGACTTCCAACAGAAATATGAATGTTATATATATTAAGAATGAATACTTATTAACATAAACTACTATATAGACAAACTAATCACTAGCCAACTTTTTGTATTCATACCAATATTCCACGTTATATAATCTCGTATGTACATATTCAACAAATTTAAAATCTGTTCATGAATTTTTAAGTCGACTTCCTCAACAAAAACCATTTCCAACCTGTAAAAAGATTGTAATGCAGACGATTTTTCTTCTTTTAAATACAGGTGGGGCCCACGTTTTTCTATTCCAGCCTTCCTTTCCATGATGGTGCACACTATGTACCCCATTAGTGTAGAACCAACCGTGACGGTCGTCTATATAAACTTACGAGGTAGGACTTGCAAGGCAGGTTTGGGATTAACGTACTCCTGCATAACATTCTGATGTTTACACGGATCGCAAATCTTGTCTGTGTGATAAAGGACGAGGGGGGAACGCAAACACTATGGTAAGCAAAGCACAACAAATATGTTGTTTTTGTTATAAATTGTTATATGATATACATGTATTTATTGTTTTTATATTTACAGGAATACATATAATCTAGTTCCAAGCAAGGAACATTTGTTCCCATTCGACAGATCCTACCAAGGAAAATTATTTCTTGATGTCAATGAATGGCTCAATTGTAAGTCTAAGTGATTAGCGATGTACATATGTCTGTTCTAGTGGATTTAACGAATCCTTGAATAGATTTAACAATATAATGTTGCTCTCTCTCTAGCATGATAACTACTGTTTTTGTGAGAAGTTCACACCCATACAGAGCGGATCGATAAACCTTAAGTTTGATTAATTTTGGCTGTAGTTAAAGGGCTCAGTGCCCTTTGGTATGCTCCAGATCGTAGTAGAGCCATGATACTCGATTTCAGTTTACTACGAGCGCGAGCAGTTCTGTTTGTATTATTTCGTTTGCTATTTAGCATCAGCACTTCATGCATTATATTATCAACTACTGGCAATGCACATTGGTATAAGTATATTTCTTTGTACTTTCGTGTATTTCTTTTATTTGAAAAAGTAACAATTTTGCTTTTGGTGTAGGAAAAAGTAAATCTCCATTTCCTATTGTACGTTTCACATGTAGATACACTATACCATATACTGGAGATAAATAATATTTGTACTAATTAATCAAATATCATCTGTTTGTGTTTAATATCAGTTACCATTGCACCATTTCCACTTGAATCGATTTCAATTAACAAATCATTTATAAAAATCAAGTACAATTTCCGGACAAAACACTGCCTTGTAAAATCCCGCGCCCCTCAGAGGAGTTGATGTAAAATCATTACGTGTCAATAAAACAACGCTTTCTACATCAGTGTACATTACTTTAAGGATACTTCACACTTTCGCATTCAGACCCATTTCATAAATTTTGTACAGTGGACCGGCATGCCACACAGTGTCGAATGCTTTATTGCTTTAAAGTACATTTGAACCATGTTCTAAACTATAATTTATACACTCTTGTACATTATATGATGTATACTGACAAAATAAACCCTTTTGATAGGCGGCTTGTTATCTGTTTGGAAAGTTTTCTTAATCTAGGACTGGGTCAATCCTTTTTTGATAACAGCATTTTAAACAATCTAAAACAGATACCGGTAAAAGTGTTATACCCCTGTAACTGTTTGGGTCATCTTTAGTCTCCCCATGTCCTTTATGTAATGTAATAATAATTCCTTTCTTCCAGTCTTAAGGAATATATTTATTTCTTATCATCATATTTAATATTTTTGCCAAGTGAACAAATAATGTCTCACACCAATATTTTATATTTTCATACAATGCCGCCCCGACCCCCAGCTTTGTTGGAAGCAAGTTTTTCCCCAATTGTCCCTACCTCTAATGCAGTTACAGGACTATCTAAAAAAGTATCGTTTTCATGCTTAACTTTTGATTCTATTTCTTTAAAACATGAGGTAATATGTCGACAGAAGGTGTTATCAAACAAGTCATTGGATGGTTTTTTTAAACAACTGCCTCAAATGGGAGCCCCATGCCTGTGCGATACCTTCGGGATCTATTACTGTCGCGCCATTGTATTTCATTTCAGTTTACATATTTGTGGTTTCCCTCGCTTTGGTTTTGGAAAGAAAAAAATGCCAAAAATAAAATTTGATCAATCTCCCAACTCTTATCAATTTCATTAAATTGATTGGCCATATATTGATTAAATGTATTTCTAAGAATTCGCCTAAATATTTGCTTGTTTATATTCTTTGAAAATGACATTGCCCCCTCTGTGTTTGTCATCTTTAACCCACTCTCGCTTTTTATGTTTAATAATGTTGTGTAATACACTTAGGTTGTCGTTCCAATGCGGTTTCAGAAAAGTTCTATATGATTTCTGTTTAAGACATGCTTCGGAAGCCTGTATTATAGGAGACACAATATTGCTTTGATAGACATCGATTGACGCTATATCGCCATCAAGTATCTTAATAAAGCTCAATTTGTCCTTCAAACTGTTTCTATTGTTAAATAATGACCCATCTCGAATAGCTTTTTTCCAATTATATTTCGTAACCTTTGAACTGTGCGGCAGTGCAATGGGTACGGTACGTGAGCAAATGATAGGATATAGCTCCGCTACATTGAGTTCATTGTCAGCTAAAACTTCGCACTGATCGACCAGATCAAACACATTTGACTCAATCAGAATATGGTCGACAGTTGTACAATTACCTTCTGAGGATGGAACATGGTAGTCGGTCCTTGCATACCGTTTGCACATTTACAGATAACATATTATTTCTGCTTATTTTTTCTGATACCAGCTCATTCAAATCAGGGGCGAAAGCAAACTGTTACCTATATAGTTTAATACATACGAAGATGTTGAAATATGATTATATCATCCTAGTGTGATCTTTAAAGCATATGACCTAAATTGTATACAAAAGCTGCGCACTAGCTCTTTTATTCTAACATAGAAATGGACAATTCGTTTTAAAGTCACGGCAATACTGAAATGCAGCTCAGGTTTTATATATTGTGCAACTGTCCCAGTTCTAAATAAAAGAACGCCGCCTACAGCGCGACTTCTGTTCAGCTGTGTAACAACATGACCGTCATAGACTTGCCTCTGATTGGTCGCAATTGACACTGTGAACTCTATGCTATGCTTCACTCGCGTCTACGGGCAGTTTTGGGGAATATATAATTGCCCCCGTTACACATTACATTCACTGAACGTAAACTCAAATTAGTTCTTGATTTTTTATGTTGATTCCCTTTCAAAAAGCTGAAATCTACCATTTGAAAAGGGGGTACAATTGTACGCGTATACATTACTATAGACTACGTAGACAATACGCTTCCCATAAACGGGTTAGTCTTACAGGTACGAGGTAGGATTTGTTCTCACCGATCCTTCTCCCGGCGCTTTACATTATGTACCCCATTCTAGTGTAATGACGGTCGCTTATATAAAAGCTGAAACAGCTGGGACAGATGTACTCAATAATTTAATTAAAATTATTTTAAACGTTTCGAAAGCTTTTTTCTATCTGGTCAAGGACGAAAGGAAAGTGTCAACCCCATGCTAAGGGGATTTTAACAAATGTTTGTCTCCTTTTTATATATCAATATATACTTCAAATAGAGTAAATATCAGGTAGAAGTTTTGTTTGAACAACCAGAATCCTTATTTTACTCACGTTCAATATGTTTGGTATAAAATCACGTCTCATATTAAATAGCACTTCGACTACCTTTTTATAGAACATTGCTTGCATCAATATGTATATACAGAGGTGTATAAAATATCCTTTGCGGATAGTAACATTTATCGTGATTTTTGTTCCTATTGTATCACAGTGTTAATATTTGGCAACTGTCCTTGTGAATTTGAAAACAGGTTTTGTTGCCAATTTTTCATTCAATATCTCTCTGGTATAAAAGCTTTGGAGATCGTGAATGATCAGCAGACCATGACGAGTGTGTGAGTGTACAAGCCGCTGTCTGAGGCTCACCATGGATATAAACACTCATTATTTTATGAATTTTAAGAAGGATGCACAGGCTTATCAAACACCAGCTCGTGAGTTATCTTTTACATACATAATAAGAAAAGGTATGTTGAAGATTGGAGAAAAACATGCAACAAAACCGGCACGCACAGATTTACTGTACAAATTTACCTTGTTATTTGTTTTGCTTTTATACTTTACTTAGCTCCAGATACCAGAAGCTTCGAAAATATTTTAGTTTATAAGGTCAATTGTAACTCGATACTGAAAAGTACGCTATTTCCTTGTGTGTTGTATAACTATAGTACGGGATATTTTTTATTTTCTATACCAAAGACACCGAGTTCCTTATTAAAATCCACATAAATACAAATCCATAATGTGATAACAACACCCTAAATTATCCCTATACCAATGTACTGTGTTTTTCCCTGTATACAGTAACCTCCTTTTACTTCCGTTCGGGTGTAACTGTCCAAGACAGGTCTGTTGACCGGGTAGCTTAACAGCTGATTTTTATTTTACACTCAGAACACTGTTGTCGATAAAATTCTGTATAAAAAGTCCAACAAGGAATGGTTTTCTTTTCAGAAATGATTTATCAAAGCTAGCGATAGTCATGCCGGGCTAAAAACAGCTTTTCAACACTTAGTTACAGTTTATGGCAGTGGTGCAGGGTTTTTAAGACTTTATCTTTATTTATCATATTTATGATTACAGCATGTGGTCTTCTCCAAACGAATATTTCAAACATAATTTGGACATTGGTCCATAGGTGTATTCTAATCACATTGTAACACAAATAGTCAATGAAATCAATTTTGGATTCTTTATCGTATCTCATAGACAGACAGGTATCAGGTCACCAATAGGACTGGGTTAAGCTTTGTTTGGTTGTTCGTGTATTCTACTCGTGTCTTATAGTATCAGAATTAGTCCTTACAATTGTTATCACTATGGTATGTATGCTGCCTACAGTATCATGTTCTATTCACTACAGGTTTCTTCCAAAGGAGGAATAATCTTCCTGGTTTTCCTGACTTCCTGCATCCAGTCCAGTATTGCGTACGAATGTCCAGAAGATGCCACAGAGTGCGAAACGACGTTAGTCATCCAACATAGATTGACTATGATGCACAAGGACGAAAAGAAAGTTTACCCATACAAGGGGAAACTATACAAGTATAGCATCCGTGATCCGGACACAGCGTCTCCTGTCCCAACTGACCAGGTAATGACCGCTGATGGATGGGAGGATGACCGTTTGGTAGTTGTCGCCAATGAGAGTCTCCCAGGGCCGGATATTATTGTTTACTCGGGTCAGAGGTTAAAAGTCCATATCATTAACAAGCTTGCTTCAGACTCTGTGACGATTCATTGGCATGGCCTTCCTCAGCACAGGAGCCAGTGGATGGACGGCGTCCCTTTCGTTACTCAATGTCCAATCCTTGCTGGCCAGACCTTCACGTACGACTTCATTGCAGAACCCAAAGGGACCTATTGGTACCATTCCCACACGGGTGCACAACGTGTCAAAGGACTAAACGGGGCATTTGTCATCAGGGAAAGACAATCCATAATGGAAGAACGAATCATGACCGTACAGGGTTGGAATCATCACTGGGGGGCGGATATGGATCATCAGAAAATGAATTTTGGTAGTTTTCAGAACCGTGTATCGCAGTCCACTTCTGATTCTGTCGACGGAGGTCATTTCAGTCGATTTTTCTTGCACTCAGTACTTATTAATGGTAGAGGGAGATACTACAGTAACAGCACAACAAGGGAACACAATGGCGCCCCTCTATCTGTGTTCACTGTGGACCCAGGCACGACCTACAGGTTCAGAGTTATTCACGTCGGGGCATTATATCCAATCAGAGTCTCAATCGACAGTCACGAGCTGACGATCATTGCCTCTGACGGCTACGATGTAAAACCCGTTGTAGCAGAATCATTTGTGATTAACCCCGGAGAGAGATACGACTTCACAATGATAACCAACCAAACTGCAGAGAACTACTGGGTTCGGGCAGAAACTTTAGAAATTGGAATAACACACAAAACTGAAGCAATATTGCACTATAGCAACGGACCAACTCTTGAACAGGAACCTACAACGTTAAGGAGAACATGCGCTGCAGCTGATAGATGTCTGGTCGTCAATTGTCCGTTCACAACCTTCCCTGCTGACACATATACCGACTGTCTACGGTTCGATCATCTGAGATCCTTAGTTGACAATGATCCCGCACCTGTTCCAACCTCTCTGGATACATTTAGAGAGTACCATCTTAATTTCGGATTTCCTGGAATCAAACATTTCCCGTCCTCAATTAACGGAAGGAAGTTCAAGTCTCCACAGGTTTCTGCTCTAACACAACCGTACGAAATAGATTCCACATGTGACAAAGTAGATTGTGGCGAAGAAAAGCATTGTGAATGCACACACACTTTGGACATCAGACACAACGATGTCGTTCAGTTAGTGTTGACCAATATGGGAATCGGCACAGGTTGGTCCCATCCAGTTCACCTACATGGTTATTCGTTTTATGTGCTGAAAATGGGCTATGCAACCTACAATATGACGACAGCAAAATTCATTTCTCAAAATACAGATATTGACTGTAGAGGTAATAAAAGCATGAAGAAAAGTTTCTGCAACGACGCCACCTGGCGTAATTCTAGTTGGCTTGGAAACAACGTCCCAGGAATAGAGTTGTCTAACGCTCCAAGAAAGGACACATTGATCATCCCTAGCGGCGGATACGCTGTAATAAGAATCAAGGCCGATAACCCAGGTGTATGGATGATACATTGTCATATTATGCTTCATTCTGAGGACGGCATGGTTATGCTTTTGAATAACTCCTATGACAGACATCCATCTCCTCCTAAAGGTTTTCCCATCTGCCATGGCTATCCGTCGCAATATCGGGAACATTACGAGGACAGCATAAAGATGACACCCGCTCCTAACGTAGAACCTGAGATCACGCCAAAGTGTCCGCCTACAGAAGGTATGATTTGTATTGTATATCATGTTTAAATTGTATCGATAAGTATCGATTGGTGCATTAATGATGATTTTTCAAAAGTATACAAATAATAAATACAAAAATATCCCTGCCAGGGGACACAAAATAGTCACCTTCAGATAATATATGCACGTTTAAAACATGAAAATGCAGCTTCATTAACGTGTCGTTTAGCAAAAGGGAATTACTGAACAGGATGAGATATAGGAAGTCTGTGTGTAGCCGCAAGGCAAGATTTGTGGGGTTTTTGGTTGACTTTCGTGACATGATGTAGACGGTTCCATTTCTTAACTTTATATATAGCCATAATAGTAGAGGAATTAGTTAGGGTTCACTTAATTATTATTATCATTTGTTTTTCATGCTAAGGGGAACATGTACGATAACAAAAAGAGTAAAAAGCAAAATTATCCTTTTTTCCAACAATTCTATGTTCCACAAATGCCGTTCCCGATTTAAATTATGAAATATTATGAAAATATTTCAAAATTTTGAAAAAATAAAGAAATGAAATTTTAACAAAACACGACAACTGTTACAGCAACACACAACAACAGTATCAAGGAAGGGTTTCTTGCTGTTTTTCAGAAGGATACGGAATGAAGACGTTTTGGATCATGTTCACTGTTCTCGGCCTGATCATCTTGTTTCTGATCGCCTATATTCTACATCTGCGGAAGGAGGTAAAGACATTCAAGATAAACCGGAAGTCGAATTATGTACCAGAAAATATACCACAGAATGCTAGTGGAAAGGAAAATCCGGCATTTGAAACAGTGGCAAAGTACTAGGTGTGCTATTTTTAACTCATAATTGTATATAGATACACATTATTTCTAGTAATCATTAAATACATTTTAGTTGTACCATAACCTACTACCGTGCAACCAATTCAGCTTTTCATTAACGTTTGAATAACATCGAAATTGTTTGATATAAGCTTTGATGCAGTATTTGCATGTTTAATTGATCAATTATAACCTCATGAAGAGAAAGAGACCGCAGCAAATGCTTTTTCAGTCGTGCAGAGTAGGTTACGCATCGAAGCGTCATCATGACATCACACCGAAGAAAATGCCATTGCAAAAAAGAGGAAAATTAATTTTTGGAAATTTCGTAATTAGGTGAATAACATGTGTTATATGTGATAAGATTGAGATGGGTATTGTTTTAACAATGCGAATCACTTGAATTATAATCGTTAAGTCATATATAAGTCCTTAACTTAATCTAACAAAAAGAAAGATATGTTTACCCGATTTTCATATTTAATAATATTCGGAGGTAAAGAGCATGCGAACTGATGAAAGTCAGGCATTCGACAATTAAGACCGGGAGCACCTGCTTTCCTCTTAAGAGGGGATTGACATTGACGTGGTTGGACGGGTGGCGCAGTGGATAGCGCACACGCCTTTCACCAAGACGGCTTTCTTCGGGAACTCCGGTTTCCTCCAAAATTTAGACCCTTGCGCACTTCAACCGGCCAAACAAAGGTGATTGCTATAAGCTGGAATAATTTGATTCAAAATTGTGATAAAATAAATAAAGAAAAAAAAAATATGCATCTATATATATATATAGTTGATGCGGACAGTGATCGGTGAGAGGAATGCCGTACTTCATGTTTATTTTACCTGTTATTTTGAATCATTGATTTATTCGGTTGCGAAAAGAAGTATTTTTTTTTGCTGATATTCACTGGATTGAAAAGAAACATTGCACAATATTTGTCCATAAGCTTAAGCAGGAAAAGTAAATATATATCTTGTTTAATACTACGCTGTTTCTTCCTATTTCTGTAATGATATCAGAAATCGAGTATGGTAGCATACTGATATTTTTCACGAGTGCAAAACACTGTTAGAATGATCAGCTTATTAGGGTATGTACATCAGTAAAAACCATTAGATTTACTGTGTATTTCATTTTGAAGTACAACGACGGAAATGTTACTGCATATTGAATTACCCCACTTCAATGAGGGAATTCAACAGCGTAACTGTGAACACATTCTAATGACATACTTGGCAATAATGCTGCGCGTTTTTTAATAAGACGCTCAACTCGATTTAATTTCTGCTATTGTATGGAAATATTTGCTTACAAACAACTGTTAACATAACAAAGTTATTGGTTTAAACGAAGTTTGAACTAACACTTTTTTATCAAGTCACTCTTTTACACATTTGATGAATACTGTTTGTTATATTTTATACATTGTATGCAGTCAGTTTATGCATTGATAATCAAAATCCTATGTAAGCCTACGGTACTAGAAGCACTAGAAGGGCCGAGTTTGTTTACATACACGGTATACAGAAGAAGGGCCGAGTTTGTTTACATACTGTCCAGAAGAAGGTATACAGAAGAAGGGCCACGTTCATGTCGCCTCGTAATTCGATTGGTCAATCAAATTGTCTAAGCCTCATTGTTTCACAGGCAATTGCAGCAATAACTTGTGATAGCAGGGACGTATAACATACTGTCTCTGGTGATAGACATCGTTCTGGACCTCCACCATCCCCTGAGTGACCGCTAGACAGTACAGTGTCCACTCTCCTTGCGGCATCCTGCCAGGTAAACGGTCCAATAGCTACAGCTTACAGCTAGGCAAGTACAGTGTTTACTCTCCTTGCAGCATCCTGCCAGGTAAACGGTCCAGTAGCTCAGCTTACAGCTAGACAAGTACAGTGTCCACTCTCCTTGCGGCATCCTGACAGGTAAACGGTCCAATAGCTCAGCTTACAGCTAGACAAGTACAGTATCCACTCTCCTTGCGGCATCCTGCCAGGTAAACGGTCCAATAGCTCAGATAAAAGCTAGACAAGTACAGTGTCCACTCTCCTTGCAGCATACTGCCAGGTAAACAGTCCAACAGCTACAGCTTACAGCTAGACAAGTACAGTGTTTACTCTCCTTGCGGCATCCTGCCAGGTAAACGGTCCAAGAGCTACAGCTTACAGCTAGACAAGTACAGTGTCCACTCTCCTTGCAGCATCCTACCAGGTAAACGGTCCAATAGCTACAGCTTACAGCTAGGCAAGTACAGTGTTTACTCTCCTTGCAGCATCCTGCCAGGTAAACGGTCCAATAGCTACAGCTTAAAGCTAGACAAGTACAGTGTCCACTCTCCTTGCAGCAACCTGCCAGGTAAACGGTCCAATAGCTACAGCTTAAAGCTAGACAAGTACAGTGTCCACTCTCCTTGCAGCATACTGCCAGGTAAACAGTCCAACAGCTACAGCTTACAGCTAGACAAGTACAGTGTTTACTCTCCTTGCGGCATCCTGCCAGGTAGACGGTCCAATAGCTACAGCTTACAGCTAGGCAAGTACAGTGTTTACTCTCCTTGCAGCATCCTGCCAGGTAAACGGTCCAATAGCTCAGATAACAGCTAGACAAGTACAGTGTCCACTCTCCTTGCAGCATCCTGCCAGGTAAACGGTCCAGTAGCTCAGCTTACGCTAGACAGTACAGTGTCCACTCTCCTTGCGGCATCCTGACAGGTAAACGGTCCAATAGCTCAGCTTACAGCTAGACAAGTACAGTTTCCACTCTCCTTGCAGCATCCTGCCAGGTAAACGGTCCAGTAGCTCAGCTTACGCTAGACAGTACAGTGTCCACTCTCCTTGCGGCATCCTGACAGGTAAACGGTCCAATAGCTCAGCTTACAGCTAGACAAGTACAGTGTCCACTCTCCTTGCAGCATCCTACCAGGTAAACGGTCCAATAGCTACAGCTTACAGCTAGACACGTACAGTGTCCACTCTCATTGCAGCATCCTGCCAGGTAAACGGTCCAATAGCTACAGCTTAAAGCTAGACAAGTACAGTGTCCACTCTCCTTGCAGCATCCTACCAGGTAAACGGTCCAAGAGCTACAGCTTACAGCTAGACAAGTACAGTGTCCACTCTCATTGCAGCATCCTGCTAGTTAAACGGTCCAATAGCTACTTGGTTGAGTGCACTTCCTTGCAGCACAGTATTCATTATACGCGCTTTATAACCTTACCTGTCGAACTCAGAATTATGTTTTATCATACAGGTTTATGTTGTAGTAACTGAGTTGTTTTTGCCAAATCTGTTTATTGTGATTAATTTGGTGTGTTTGAAATTGCGTGTGTTGATGATGATATGATTTTAACCTTTGTTATAAATATGTAGTGTAGTGTAGCTTCATCTTCTAGGCAGTTGGTCAGTTTTAAAGTGCAAAAACTGCTACTGTCGCTTCATAGGCATCTGAACTGAAAATCTACGACAATGAAGGCAGAAGGAACCGTTTGAAATAGTCAACCCTTACATCTGGTATATCTTTACTACAGTGAAGATAAATATAAACAATATGTTGTAAATCTAAACATTTTCTTCAGGTTGGTAAGTATTGATTGTGAAAAGACTAATGTAGCACAACCAACAAGTGTTTATATGTGACTTTTCGATGACTAATTTATAATACGGTATGTACTCTGTCACCTTCATCAGACAAATGACTAGTGAAGCGTATGTACAGGGTCTATGAATGCCGATTTATTGATCTGGGACTCCGGCTGCTTCATTTCTGATCAGGTGTATTTCTTTCCCTCTTGGGTTTTCGTATCATTCCGGTGTTCACCAAGGCGGACCCCAATTCACCTTCCAGTCTCTCCAATATATACGATGCGTCGCAGTTTTTGCATCCGATTTTGTTTACGCATTCTGCGACGGTTACTAAAGGTGTTTTATCCTTAGGTAGTCCAAATATTCTGACGTTTTATCGACTTTTTTCATATCGGTCTGTCGTCGATTAACGTCAGAACTCCGGCCCTCTATAATATGCGGGAAATATGCGACCCGTGCCCGGAGCGCACTTCAATCTGATATTTTAGAAACAAATCGTCACTTTCACACACATGTCGCACATGGATCGAAAGATCTATTCTTTATGTACTAGGTGGTATCAATAACATGTTTCAAAGATCATTACGAAAAGTATTTTCCAACGTTTTCTATACCAACCCATGTTTTTAATGGAAATTAGGCCATGAGCAATGTCACATGACTTGACGAGATCTCGCGTTACCGAAGGT